TTTTGAGGGGCCCGGCGGTGGCAGGAGGAACGGGGCGGCCGCGGACGCTGCTGCAATGCCGGGAGCACCTGCCCCGCCGCTCCGCGCCCCCTGCTCCAGGGATCCCAAAATGGTCCATCAGCGGTTCCTGCGGAGGAGCGTGGTGGACTCGGACCAGGAGGAACCTGCCTTTGACCTTCCCGAGTCAGAGCATCAGAGGAAAATTATCCTGCTCCCGAAAACCAGGAGGATAATTGCGGAGAGGGCGAAGGCAGGGCACGGGGCCGGGGAGAAGGTGTGCCTGGAGGCCGAGCCTTCTGGGGAGCTGAAGGCAGCGCCAGCCCCTGGCAGTGTCGTAGGGGCTGAAGAGCAGAAGGAAGCCGGCAAAGATGCAGAGCGGAAAGAGGCGTCGGATGCTTCCAAAGATCAGAGCAAGGCTAAGAAAGAGGAGCCTGAGGAGGAGGCTGATATGAAAGCGGTTGCCACCTCCCTGGATGGCAGGTTCCTAAAGTTTGATATTGAACTCGGGAGGGGATCCTTCAAAACGGTCTATAAGGGTCTGGACACGGAGACGTGGGTGGAAGTTGCATGGTGTGAACTTCAGGTAAGCTGAGCTGATCCTCCTGTGGGTTTTTTTCTGCTTTGTAAGCCTAGGAGCTAAGGGCAACATGCCGGTGTCATCTACAGAAGCTCAGCTTTGAGCAGCCTTTATAGTCACCATTGCTTAGTATCCAGTGTCTAACTATAGCGCAATATTCTCATTGGCTCTCAATCTACCACCTTATGTACACTCCTCCCAGGCTTAACCCTCTCGGCCCTGGGATCTGACTGCTGACACTGATGATGTTGACATAGGACCTGTCATATTGCATAAAAGGGTCAGGAGTCGCTCCCTCCGAATGCGCAAAGCATGCTGAAAAGAGCGAAACGGAGCTCTTCTCTTCCCCCCCCTCCCCCCCCCCCCCCCCCCCCCCGCCACTTCAGAACGCGGCAGCTTGATTTAGCAGGAGTGGAGCAGCAGGTCTCTATTAAAAAGACACTGAGCATAAATGAAGTTGGAGAGCATTTGCAGGAGCGAACTTTCCTTTTTCTACAAATGCATTATGCTTTTATAAAGATTGAAGATCTGCTGCCCCCTTACTTGCCCTTTCCCCTGCTCTGAAATTGTGACTGTCGCCAGCTTCTTGTGAGCCAAACCTCTGAAAGCACCTGAGAGTGCTTGCCTTCTTAGGCATCATGAACTAGTGCTTCAGCTAGGTCAAAGACCTGCCTATCCAAATACCTTTTAAAAGGAAGATTTTTAAAAGGTCTGATTTGGGTTCTAGATCTCTAGAGAAGTCATCGGGTAATATCTAAAGAGAGCGAAGGTTTAGATACTGTCTTATGCTGGTTTGGGATGTAGCTGTTACCCTTTTCCTAGTGATTTTTGTATTCTCACTTCTGTAAAAATGACAGTAGTATATGCTTAATGTTTTTTCTTTGTGAAGCTTTTAGCGTCTGTTACTTACCTCATTTCTGTTAGCATCCATTTGCATGAGACCTATCTAAGAAGAACCTGAGACAGATTTTTATTTTTTTCCTGAGCTATTACTGAGTCTGAGTTACTCTGCAATTTTGGTGGGGACTAGAAGATTTAACTCAAGTTATAATTTGGGGTCCTTAAACTCCCACTGGTTGACTGAGCTTTATGGCCTACCAGAGTATTTGAGAATAGCGTGTCAATAATGTGATGTGATAAGCCTGAGCTCTTGATTGTTTGTTTGTTTATTTTTTAATGTTGGCCCAATCTGTTTGTAAATCACTCCCGGCTTCCTGGGATAGGCGGGGATGGATGTACAGCCACATCTTTATTCCCTAATGATTTCATTACACAACATAATCATAATTTACTGCAGCGCTACTTAATACGAAGTATGGGGAGCACTTCTCAGTCTTCGTAATCACGTGTTCCCATGGCTTTAATTAGACAGAAATGCAAAATACAGAGCCATGGCAGTTGGGCAAGGTGAGGACCTGAAGGGCTGGTGGTAAGGGGTTTAACCCTCCTGCCCCCCAGCCTGGAGGGGGTCCTGGAGGGCTCCTAGGGAAAGGGGGGGAGGCTGTGGGATTGCCAAGGGGATTTACAGGGGAACTGAGTGAGGCCGGTGCTGCTGGGAGGAGAGCCTTGCGGGCAGGCCTGGTCTTTGTCTGGCTTCGGCTTGAAAGCGAATCCCAAGTGTTGTAAGGCTTTTACTTCGGTAGCCCGAAATTCATTTAGGATGACGATTGGGAAGGTTTGTCCGTAGGAAAAGGCCGATGTTGTTCAGCTGTCGGTCTGACCAGCGCAGGCCAGTTCTGTCACTGCAGAGCGATTGCACAGATCAGGAATTCATCTTGTTGCCAAATTTTTCAGTATGCTCTAGCAGGGGAACTGAAATAGATGTATTTTCAACATACTTTCTGTGACAGAATAGCTTTAATGACAAAAGACTGCCAAATGTGGTGGAGAACGCTGCATTGAAATTCCAGTGTTTGGGTCATTTACATCTAAGAAAGAGACTGGGAAGGGAAAATTGCGGTATGAAGCTTACCTGGTGATTGGTTTTCTTGTTCCTAGTTACGCTTGTTTATGAATTCTTGAACTGACTGTACATGAAGAAATAATATGTAATAATTCCTGAATTCCCACTAGTTTCCATTATATGTGCTTCAGCTGAAATCAGATCTTACTACTAAATATTTTCAATTTAATACAGAATTTGTTTTAGGCCTCTAACTGTAGAAAGAAAACTCTTTATTCGACTGCTTTAGAGAAGTTGGTGTGGATCCAGAGAAGTAGGGAGGGCTGCTGGTTCTCCTTAAACACTGCTGTCCGTTTGCGGTGCAGATGTGGAGGTGATGCCAGAGGCCAGGTAATGTGAGATGGTATGTGAATTTTGAAAGCCAGTACTCTGGTCTGGATTGAGGAAGTCTAACTGAATGACAAAAGTCTTTAAGCACCACGGGATTAAAGCCTATGCTTCTAGGATGAGTTTGCATTAAGGAAGCCATCAGGAGAAGGTGTGAATAGCTGTGTGTTGTCTTGGGCTTTTTGACTTGTAGAGTACTCTCTTAATTCAGCTAGGGAGTCATACTGGGAAAACATTCAGAGGGTGCTGTCAAGTAATCACTTCATTCACAGCATTTTGAAATTTTTTATGTAAGCTGTGCCAGTTAGATATGCCCCCGTTTGTCTCTTTCTCTGTAGAAATTTCTAAGTTCAGCTATGCATAGCAGAAGACTGAGTGGAAGCCATCGCCATGCTGTTGAAGACAATGAGTTCCTCTGCAGTCCCACACCGTCAAATCCCATCCCAGAGCCTTTTTGTGGAAAAATTGCAACAAATTGTACTTTGTCTTTCTTCTGGAGATGCACTTGGGCTTGTTACTTTTAGAGCTGGAGAGTTAAAAAATAACAGTATTGAGGTTCCATGCAGGCATTAATCCTCTGTCCTCGCTCAGCATTTTTTCAGCCCAGTTGTACTGTTGCCTCTGTGTGTCTCTTTTTTTGACCGTCTGTACAAAGACCTTGCGAGCCATTCTTGTTCAGTGGTTTTATTTCATTGCAAAGGTGGCTTTAGGGTTCAGAACCAAAATCAAGGCTTGGATTAGGGTGGGATCCAAATGCTAACCAAACTAGATCTGGGGTCTAGACCTGTCTGAAGACGTGAAAGCTGTACTCAGATTCTAGCTAGAAAGGAAGTTTATTGTTCCTTCCTGAAACTGAAGTATTGGAGCAGGATTAGTGTGCCCTTGCAGTTTGGAAGGGTTTGCATTCTAACGGTTTTCAACAGCTATAATTAATTTTAATTGGTGGCATACAATTGCTGTGTGGTGAGGCTTCAGCGTAACAGTATTTCAGTGTTGCGCTCCTAAGTAAAATGTTAGGTCATGAATAAGAAATATAGATTGGCAAAAGCCTACTGCTGGCAAGCCCAATAATCTTTTGAGTTAGATGGATGGTTTCAAAATTCCCATCCTATTTCCCTTTGGGAACATGTAGGGAAGCTGCAGAAGAGTCAAACCTGGTACTATCTCAAATGCAAAGACCTGATTGTACCTCATGGTTCTTGCTTGGACTGTGAATACTGAGCTTCTGTTTGATTGTATTTAATTTTAGTTTTCTTCATTGAAAATGTGGAAAGGAGGGACTGTCTCGTCCTGCTGTTGCTGTACCCGTGGTGGGGAGGTGAGCAATGCCTGTTGGTGAACACCGCAGGGAAGCCAGGCTTTTTCCACTGGTTGCCCAAGACTTGTTCTCCACTCTGCATACCGGCGCTTAGATGGACGCTGGTGTCTTCAGGACGCTTGGCCTCCAGGTGCTCCGCGTGAGAATGCGTGGGAGTGCTTGATGCTCCCTGGGACAGAGCTCAGCTCAACAGAGGTATCTGGGGAGCTGTGTAAGAGTGGAGGATGGGAGAATTGACCTCTGCCTTCCCCGCCCATATAGCTGAAGTTGGAAATCAAGGGTAATAGAATACCTCTGATGGCATTTTCCAAATGGCCACCAAACCAAGGGGTCTGTAATGGTAAAACAACCACAAATAGACGTGCTGCTCTGAGGTGGCAATTTCTTGCCCCCTGCACCTCTTCTGCCAAGCTTCTGGTAGTACAGTTCTGTAGGGAAAGACTTAATTATCTTTGCAAGACAAGTGTTTTACTCCTTAGTTTTATAGCACTCTTTTGTTTTTATGTCACTGCCAGTCTTCTCAAGCTGCCTGAACCAAAGAAAAAAATGTGAAAATGCGTTGTATGTCTTAAGTCACTCAGATATTCAGGAGTTTCATGTTTTTGGAGGGTACAGATCTTAACTGAAAATTAAGTTCTAAATGTTGATGCATTTCTGAACATTTCTTTCATTTGATTCATATGCAGTATTAATATGGGAATGGATAATGTATTTTCTTGATCTCAGTTTTTATTCCTTAAATGAGAAGCTCATCCAGATTGGCTGATAGCTGACTGATTTTAATATGGCATGAATATTCTAGAAGTACAAGATGAGATTAGACTTTGTTTTAATGCAAGGTGAATAAAAAGGGCATTTAAAATCATTAATGCTCTGTGAACTTGCTAATTTTTGTTTCTAAGGCTGATAATCTTTCCTTGAAGCAAAATTTCTAGTTTGAGCAGAGGAAGGGAGGAAAAGCATGCAGTTTATTTCTAAGTGTGTTACCTTATGCATGAGAGAAGGCTATGATGCCTATGTAACTATTTTCTTAAATTTTTAAGCAGTGTTTTCCATTGTATGTCCACTTAGAAGATCTGTGATAGTTGTTTAAAGCAATACCAAAGGTCCATGGCTCAGATGTTTTTTGTAAGCAGATAACGTTTGCATGGTTAAAAGTGGGAGCCTGTAAAATGGACAATGTTAAAGCAAGTTCACTTTGCTCTAGCTGGGCAAGTCACTTCTGGCAAAATTAAATTATGTGGAGTTAAATTCTGTGGGAGGAGGAGGCTGTCCTACGCCCCCGTATCAAGAATCCAAGGGATTTCTTTCTGAAAAAGGTAATATCTTCAGGATTTTCACTGGTGTGGTAGTTTGGCTTTTGTTAGTGTCTTTGGCTAACAGCATTCATCTGATGTT